AAGACCAGAAGACCGGAGGCACAACCCAATAAACACGACCAAATGTGCATTGATTAGGTGGAAACTACCACGTTTTAATTAGTTTATTTACAATATCCATTTTGAATAACATTCATTTTCTTTCTGAAACAACTTAGTTTTCACATGAACAATTAATCCAAACTTCATAATAATAAATAGGCTCTACTGTCTTAGTTGCTGTGATGCAATTTGGAAGTTGGAACGCTTTCTTATGAATCTGTATTCACGAATCAAAAAAGCTGAAGTGAGCACAGTTTTAGTAGAAATTGCTTGACTACAGCGTTGTATTACACACATTTCTCCCGTAGAGAAAGCTATTGTCGCCTAGTTTGAGTCTTCTTTTGAAAAGATACATTACGTTTTCCAAAAAAAAATTTTCGGGAGGTACAGTATATACTGTACTTCAATATGATACGTGTAAAATTTAAAAAGTTAAAAAGTGGATAAATTAAAAAGTTTATACTTACACAATGAATTCCAGTAGCTGAGAAAAGCCATGTCCAGCCCCGAAAACACCAAACTAGAAAAACAAGAACACCTGTATTTAGACGATGGTTTAAAAATATTTTAAACCAATGTTTCTTAGCAGCAAACGGCGTTTTCAACCGGGTAGATAGCGCAAAATGTAGTTAAATAAGAAACGTGTAAAGAAATGAATATGACGTTTATACCTACGTTTGCACACCCGATTTAGTGCGAACCAAGTCTTGCCCGAAAACACTAAATTAAAAACACAAAACCAGCATAGTTCAACATGTAAAGACCATTTAAAGCAAGAGGTATTCGATGCACGCGTCTTTTTCTTTCCTAGTAATGCAAGAAAATAACCACCTAACACACTTCGGGAAATAATTTAAAAGGTTTACAATTCACGATAGGCTATTTTCGGTTCGGATACATGCACACGCTTGATTTTGTGAGCAAATTTCTCGGCGTGTTCGATAAAGAAAAAAGTTACAGGAAAATACGGAAAAGCGACGTTTTCATTCTGCGAATACAGCAGTGTCTTTACTGCTACAACAGAGTTTTTCTTTGGTGTGAAAGAAATACGTTGTGTAACACAACGACTTGTTAAAAAGGACTTGGAAAATAACATTTAAAAAAAATGCTATTTAGCTCCCAACGAAAATACGTGCTTTACCACTTTCTCCTCTACGATTAGACTACATTATTATGAATTAAATCGTATTTGCATTAAAATAAAAGAAAAATAAAACTAGTCCTGAAAAGACGTGGAGCAAACTCACTCAGCTCCCTCCTCTCTCGCAGAATCTGGCGGACAGGTGCGCGGGGCGTGGCCTGCGAGGGATGTCATTCAAGTGGGCGTGGTTACCGGCTGACGGGGCAGGTGGCTTTTTCCTTCCACTTGAAGACGGAAGAAATGGAACACGTTTTTAGAAGCCCTCAACAATCACAAGTTTCTTTCTTCTTTTTTTTTTTTTACCATGGCCGTCAGAGTAATCAGTATATTTAATCCTTATTAGTATTTGAGGGCCACAGGATGCACGAATTTAGAAATATATAGGCGACCTTACCGTTTTCTAACCTGATTTTAATTAACGCTGCACCACGAAGTCAGGTTTTTCATCTGTAAATGCTCATCGTGCAATCAATGTACTTCATAGTACTTCTTTTTAGTGATGCCCATTTAAGAAGTTCCAAGAACCTGAGAAAGTTCAAACGAGAGAACAGTATTCGATCCGTGGAGCCTTTTTGATAATTGGTATCGATTTGATCTGATAGTCTCATACAGCCGTCGCTCGAACGAAAACAGGCTGCTGGTTTATATA